TTTATGATATGTTTCCCTTTGTTGTTCTTCCTGCTTTTAACTTTGAGAGATCGGATTAATTTTCATTAATGTATTTAATCAGAGGATTTAGGAATATATTATATGCATAAATTTATATGCCTAATCCTATATATTGTGGTTTTCAATTGCAGGCTGCCATGGGCACATTGGATGGCATCATTGACACAGTGTCTGCTGTTCATCCCATTGTGCCATTGATTGGTCTTTTGAAGTCTCATGGGAAGCTTATTCTAGTAGGTGCACCAGAAAAGCCACTTGAGCTCTCTGTGTTTCCTTTAATCATGGGTAAGCATATATGTATCTTCTCAATTATTTTGATCTAGACACTCTATAACCTAAAATCAAAATGTGAACATAGGAAGGAAGGTGTTGGCGGGTAGTGGAATTGGAGGCATGAAGGAGACACAGGAGATGATTGATTTCGCCGCAAAACACAACATAACGGCAGAGATTGAAGTAATTTCAATGGAGTATGTGAATACAGCAATGGAGCGTCTTGCTAAGAACGATGTTAAATACCGATTTGTAATCGATGTTGGGAACACCTTGGCTGCTACCAAGTCTTGAAGACTAGGCAGGAGAAGAATGAAGATTCATCATCCAATCCAAGTGCTTGGAGTTATGCATTGCACAGTTTGTTTCGTCTGTGTTTAATTTGATATCTCAAATAAGAACTTAAGTGCCAAAACACTAATTGATTGTAAAAATAGTCACGTTGGCTGGGTATAACATCATAATTAAGTTCATAACCAAACGACCTTCACTTATTCGTAATCTGAGTTTTGTTTTCTTTTTCGGGTTTGAACCCCATGACACACCGAGTCCGGTTTACCTGTTACCAAAGTTCATGTGCCCCCTGTTTCCCTGCTAGTTTCGTGACATGTGGCAAGCCACTTAACACCACTTAACTCTGTTAACTCTTCTTGCTTCTTTTTATTATTTATTATTTTGCTTTTTCTCCTTGTTCTGCCCCTTTCTCTCTTCTCTGGTTCCCTCCCCCTCTCTCCTTCGTCTCCCCTCCTCTCCTTCCTTTTTTGTTCTCTTTTCCAGATCTCCACCTCCACGTTTTTTCTTTCTCTTTTTTTTTTTGGTTGCTTTTGCTTTCTTTTTCTTTTTCTCCGGACCTTAGACATCACCACAAACTCCTCAGAATCCATACCGTTCGCCATGCACCGCCTCAGATCAATTCAAAACCCTAGAAATTTACCCCCAATCACTGACTCGGATTTGTATTAGAAGAACTGCAAATCCAAACCCAGACAAAACCTTTGTTTATATACGTGTGGGGTTAAACTGAAAAGGCTCGAACTTTTTTA